AAATGACTTTACAATTTTGAATGACATTGTATTTCTTGTGAAAACAAGATTTTCTTCATGGAAATTGTGCCAAATGCAGAGAACTGTGTTTTGTTTTGGAAAAAAAAAACTGCAATTTGAGTGTAAAGCAGGAATTGTGCTTGTAGATAGCAGAATTGGTCCAGGGGGTTGGTGTGTCAGTTAAATGTTGTGGTCATTGTGTCTGAAGTACAAGTAATTGTGTGTAAACAACTAAGAGAAGCTGTAATTAAATTGATATATTTATCGATTTCGAGTTTGTGCCATATTGTCGTGTACCCCCCCTCCCCCATCTTAAGAATGTAGGAAGGTGTAGGAGGTGTAGGAATTTCAACAGTTTGCAAATGTGCCTCCTACTTTTTACGGCCCCAAAAGTAATTGGACAGGTGTGTGTGTTTTTCCCTCATTATCCCAATTACAATGAGCAGATAAAATGTTTAGAGTTCACGTGTGCTATTTGCATTTAGAATTTGTTAATGTCAACTCTTAAGATGAGATCAGTCAAGCAAGTCATCATTAGGCTGAAAAAACATAAACCCATCAGAGAGATAGTAAAAACATTTGGGGTGGCCAAAACAACTGTTTGTAACATTCTTAAAAAGAAAAGAATGCATCAGTGAGCTCAGCAACACCAAAAGACCTGGAAAAACATGGAAACAGCTGTGGTGGATGACCAAAGAATTATTTCCCTGGTGAAAAAAAACACCCTTTAGTTGGCCAGATCAAGAACACTCCAGGAGGTAGGTGTATTTGTTTCAAAGTCAACAATCAGGAGAAGACTTTACCAGTGTGAAAGACTTTACAGAGGGTTCACCAGTTCACATATATATATGGTGCCTTTTTTACAGAAAAATGTTTGAGGTGCAGAGAGAGAGAAATAGCCAGCCCTTGTTGGGAAGGTTTTCCACTGTTCCTTGTTTTTTGCCATTTGTAGATAATGGCTCTCAGTGTGGTTTGCTTTAGTCCCAAAGCTTTAGAAATTATTTTATAGCCTTTTGGTGGATCTCAATTGTTTTGAGAGTTTTTTGGATTTATATTTCGCATCTAAAATATTTAAGTCTTGTTTAAGTTATTTAATATTAAAGAATGTTTATCTTTTTAGAATTATTCATGTCAAAATTAAAGTAATTCGTTATGTTTTCTCTGGAAACATGCCCCACATGTCCACAATTTATTTTCTCTTACTTTGGAGATTGGAGCTAGTAGATTTGCAATTTACAATTTCTTAACAATAAAGAAATTCTTCTTCTAAAGACAATCTAACAATAAAAACTTAAAAGCTTTAAATCATGAAATAAAACTGACAAATTTTCTGATAACTGAAGAGTTAAAAAGTTACAAAGAACCCTACTCCATTTATCTTTATAAAAAAAAAGACAAAAGTTGCCAGAGTGATTTTTATTTCAAAATAATAGATTTTTCCTTTGTAAAACCAGTCACATGCGACCCCTTTCATATATTTCATAATAATTATTTGTTTATTTTGGTATCTACATGATATATTTTATTGTTATAGGTAGATACATTGTACAAATGGTCGACAAATCTTTTTTTTTTTTCCTCAAAATAAAGCCCCCTATTTTGAAATAGCTGTGGTGGCAAGCAGTTTTGTGCTTGGAGTTGTAAAAAAAGATTTTGCCCCATTAATTGCTTAGAAGGGTGCAATTTTTCAAATAACAGATTTATTTAAGGTTTTATTTAAACCTACAAAGTGTATACTGTAAGTGTTATGTTTCTGTAAAGGTTAGGAGCAGAAAAGAAAAATTCCTGTAGAATGACCTTTAATTGGTTTTTATAAGTTTTCCTTTCATTCATTCATTAATTTTCTTGTCGGCTTAGTCCCTTTATTAATCCGGGGTCGCCACAGCGGAATGAACCGCCTACTTATCCAGCACATTTTTACGTAGCGGAGGCCCTTCCAGCCACAACCCATCTCTGCAAAACATCCACACACACACACACACACACTCATAGACTACTGACTAGCCTACCCAACTGACCTGTACCACATGTCTTTGGACTGTGGGGCAAACCGGAGCACCCGGGAGAGGGGTCTGGCTGCAGACTCGGTGCAGTGCAATCTGAGCTGCATCCAATGCTTTTTAATGCGCTCACCTAACCCCACCCGTAACCCTACCGTCACAGTGACATCACTCACTCAATTGAGTGCATTGCGTCTGACATTGCATCGCTGAGTGATGCAGTTTCAGCTTGCATCATAAAGGCTGCATCCAGATACTATTGGCACCCGGAGGTAACCCACGTAAACTTAGGGTGACTGCGTCACCAGTTTTCCTTTCACTTTGTTTGTTATCATTTATTTAAGACAGTTACAGCCCTTTACTTTTTCCACGTTTTATGTGTCAGCCTTATTCTAAAGAGGATAAATTCTTTTATTTCCTCAAAATTCTACACACAAAACCTCATAATAACAATGTGAAAATATTTTTTTGAAATTGTTGCAAATTTATTAAAAATAAAAAACCTGAAAAATCACATGTACATAAGTATTCACAGCCTTTGCAGTGAAGCTCTAAAATCTGTTTCCTCTGATCATTATTAAGATGTTTCAGCAGCTTAGTTGGAGTTCACCTCTGGTAAATTCAGTAGATTGGACATGATTTGAAAAGGCATACACCTGTCTATATAGGGTCTCAGAGTTGACAGTGCATGTCAAAGCACAAACTAAGCATGAAGGCAAGGTAATTGTCTGTAGACCTCCGAGACAGGTTTGTCTCAAGGCACAAGGCTAGGGAAGATTACAGAAAAATTTCTGCTGCTCTGAAAGTTCCAATGAGCACTGTGGCCTCCGTACGTAAAGGATGTTTGGAAACACCAAGACTCTTCCTAAAGCTGGCCAGCCATCAAAGCTGAGTGATCAGGGGAGAAGGGCCTTAGTCAGGAAGGTGATCAATAACCCGACGGTCACTCAAACGGCAACCTCCCGCTCTCCCTCGGGAGGCCAATACGGAAGTAACTGAAACTGCAATTCATCGAAAATCAGCTAGTCCTGGCTCCATAGTAGAGCAAAATTGAGCCCACTGTTAGAATGGCCAACTTTACAGCAGAAAAAGGCTGTTTACAGCCTGGTACAAAGAACGATTTTTGTTCATACAGCTAATATTACCCTTCATGACAACTGTGAGGGGGGTGAATTTTTTTTTTTTTATAACCCATCAGTTTCCTTTATATTAGGTTATATTAAGTTTGCATAATCAAGGGCGTGGCCACTTGATTGACAGCTAGGTCTCGCTGGTCGCCGTCACTGTACCTCAGCGGATTCCGGCAGATTAGCCACTGATTTCGGCATATTCATCACATTTTTGTCTTGTTTTATGTGGCTTTACACAGTCAGTTGCCTTTTGGGATTATTTTCTACAATAATCAGATGATGATATGGGATGCTGTCTGCACTTAATTGTGCTCACAAACCATTCAAGTGGCCTCCGTTTCCCATGTGAGTAAAGTTATATACTTGTATACCATTTCTATAAATGTATTTGTTTTATTTAAGATCATATATCATTTATAACGTTGTTTATCACTGTAATGCACCCTAGAATCTGACAGATTGATTAGATGTGGACTGTAGAACAGTCATCTGAAGTGTTATCTTACAGAGTTATGCTAGATTTCATCAATAGTCTTGCATTTACTGACAGACTATATCTGAAGTGTTTGGCAGTAATTTGCGTTTTCCTCCTGTAGAAAAACATCATAAGAACAATACTTAGTGGCTTAATGTATTACAGCAGTGTTTTTAAAAGACTTAACAGTTTATTGATATAGTGTACAGCCAAGCACATGTGGTCAGAATACAAACGAGTCGCAGGTGATAAAGTATTAAGGGTTTTCCCAAAGTAAAGTGTGTCTGAGCCAGGTCCAAGCAAAATGCCAGCAGTGTCTGAAGCTCCGCTCACTCTCCGCCTCTTTGCCCTTGTTTGGGATCCCGCCTTGAGTGCGATGACGCGCAAACAAAATGGCGATGTTTGGCCACGCCTACTTGTGGCTTCTTTTGCGCTCTTCAGAAACCTATGGGTGACGTCACAGATCCTACGTCCATATATTTTACAGTCTATGTGGTCATTCTGTCTGAGCTCCAGCGTTCTTCTGTGGAGAGAGGAGAACCTTTCAGAAGGACAACCATCTGTGCAGCAGTCCACCAATCAGGCATGTATGGTAAAGTGACCAGACAAAAGCCACTCCACGCCTAGAATTTGCCAAAAAGCATCTGAAGGACTCTCAGACCATGAGAAATAAAATTCTGGTCTGATGAGACTAAAATTGAACTCTTCAGAGTGAATGCCAGACATTACGTTTGGAGAAAACCAGGCACTCCTCATCACCAGGCCATCCCTACAGTGAAGCATGGTGGTGGCAGCATCATGCTGTGGGGATGTTTTTCAGCAGCAGAAACTGAAAGACTAGTCAGGATAGAGGGAAAGATGAATGCAGCAATGTACAGAGACAGCCTGAATGAAAACCTGCTTCAGAGTGCTCTTGACCTCAGACTTGGGCGACGATTCATCTTCCAGTCAGACAATGACCCAAAGCACACTGCCAAAATATCAATAGAGTGGCTAGTGCAACAGTTTCTGCTGATCTGATGTCAGCTGCAGATGTAAAAAAAAATGGCAGAAGAAAGTAGTTCCTCATACAAAAGAATGTTGAGAGTCTTTGTATTTGATTTTCTTTTTTTTATACACAATTATGCCATCGAAATGTTGTATAAATGCAATATCACACTCGTAGCAGTGCGATGTGGCTGCCTATAGTCACTGGTGTAACACTCAAACACTCGGCCAGTGGCCTCCTACCAACACACACCTCCCAACAGTGCCGATATACAGCCACATCGCACTGCTACTGGAATGATATTGCTTAAACACATGACAGTAAATCACTACATATAATTTGGATATATGCAGGCATTATGTAACTATGAGGATACTTGTTACATTACTCAAGAGTTTCAGACAGTGTTGAGTATTTTAATTTATTGCACACAATGAATGCTTATATTTGAATAACGAACACTTTTAGTCTTTAACCAATCCAATGGATTTAGTTTTTTTTTTCAAAAAGTCTGAACAACAGTAACAAATACAGCAAACTAGACTAATAATAACATTCCTTCCTCAGACAAATACAGGAGAAAAACAAAAACAGCATTCCTACATTTTACGTAAACCAGTAATGTCCAGAAGACCATTAGACATCTTGAACAGCATTGAAGATATTGAATCAAACTGATCTTTGGCTGGATGGAGATGTTTCCCTTCAGGCTACATAAGACTGTCATCAGTTTTCTCTTTTTTAACTAATTGAAAAACTGTACAGCAATATAATGTTTAAAAAAAAAACATGAAAAAAATCACAACACAAAGATGCATAATAAAAATATGATGACTGGATAGCATAGTGAAAGTGTTGATGACATCCTCTGGTTTTATACAGTCCTTTCCCTTCAATACTTTAAAACTCAAGAGACATTGCACTGCTTGAACCCCTCTTAAAGGGATAGTTCGGCTAAAAATAAAAATTTCCTCACAATTTATTCATAATCATTTGGTTCTAAACTTTTTTTTTGAATGTCTTCTGTTGAACATAAAACAAGGTACTCTGAAGAATGTTGGAAAAAGCAGCTATTGACGTCCTTATAGGAACAAATATACTATGAAAGTCAATCCTCTAAAGTCTGTTCAGAAGATCTTACTTCTTGCTCAACAGAAGAAACTCAAACAGGTTTGGAACAAGAAAAGGTTGATCAAATTATGACAGAATTTTCATTATTGGGTGAACTATGTCTTTAAAAGTCTTTCCTGTTTCCACAAACAGCCATAACACGGACTCCTAAATATCACGCATTCAACACTAAATTGCTGCTTGTGCATCATTTTCACCAGTCATCTTAACAGTGTCAACCACTCAGAGCCTGCTGTTAATGAATCACACCAGTCATATCAATCTGCCTATACAGAGTAAAATAAAGAAATACTACTATGACTCCTGCTGCACCACAAACCCACCAGGAAGCATCCAATTTTGTGTATTAAAGGGATAGTTAGCAAAAAAATAAAAAAATAAAAAAATAAATAAATGCTAATTTACTCACCCTCAAGTGCAGGGTTCACCAATCACGGTCCTGGAGGGCCGGTGTCCCTGCAGGGATTAGCTCCAACTTTCTTCAACGCACCTGCCTGGATGTTTCAAGTATACCTAGTAAGACCTTGATTAGCTTGTTCAGGTGTGTTTGATTAGGGTTGGAGCTAAAATCTCTGTAGAGACACAGGCCCTCCAGGAACAAGTTTGGTGACTACTGCTTAAGTGGTTCCAAACTTTTTGAAGTTACACTTTTCTGTTAAACAGGAATTCAAACAGGAAAAGGGAAAAAAAAACTCAATGGCTACCAGAATTTTTTTTTTTTTTTTTTTAGAATAAAATATATAGAATGCTATTTTTAGGTGAACTGAAATAAAATGAAAATATTACATTACTGACTTCCATAATAGGAAAATCAAATAATGTGGAAGTCAATGGTTACAAGTTTCCAACAATAACTTGTGTACAACATAAAAATACGGGTTTATGACATGTGAAGGGTGAGTAAATGATAAAAATTGTCATTTTGGGGGTGAACTATCCTTTTAAGAAATATCAACCAAGCAATGCATGATTCATTTTTACAGTACAGAAGTATAAAATGAGAGCTGAAGTGATGCATTTATCTTAAAATATAAAAACTCAAACTCCTATCTCTAGTAGGTATTTACATGCTTCGACATGCAACATTTTAGCCCACCAAAAGTTTCCTCACTCAGAGAATACTCTTTGAGCATTTGTCTAGTTGTGAACGTGTCTTCTGGTGCTACAGAAGGCAGTATTTCCCCAGTTCCCAGATGTTCTTGATTGCCTGTCACAACATAATTAATAACCAGACCTGTGCAAACATCAACAGGAGCATTGGGAAGACTAAATCTGGTCTCAGTGGACAGATCAACAACAAGCATGTAAACGTTATCTTCTGCTACTTCTACTAAACACTGTCTTCTACATTAAACGGCAAATCATAAAAATCTGAATCAGAAAATGTTTCATTTTTGGTTTCAAAACTATTTAGTACACACTACCCAAGCAAAAAAAAAAAGCACAAAATACATACAATAATCAGACTGACATTACAGTGCTAAGTTTAAATGAGTACACTGCTGACCAATCTCTCAAATAAATTAATAAATTCTATAGAATAACTTACAATAGTATTTGTGTCTCATTTTAGAGGGTCCATACCTCTGTGAGGGCGAGTCCTTCGAAGTCCACACAAGCCAAATCAAGGATTTTGAAATGAGATAATCCAGCCACCTAGCAAACGTAACAGCTGCTGTTACTAACGGTAATAAACTTTGTGATGACTTTTTACAGACGGACTTTAAACTTATTTTAAGCAATCTGAAGGTAAAGCAAGTTTACAAACACTGAAAAATAATTTTTTAAATCCAAAAATGTACACTTAAAAATGTAAACGGTCTGTAAAATAACTTTTTAGTAAGACACGTCATGTTCTTTTTATTTTTTTAACATGCGTTTAGATATCCAAGTAAAATAAACCTAATTCATACATTTAATCCAACGGCTGTGTCCTTCATTACCTGTGAAACGAAGGACACGTTTGGAGGCTGCATTTAAAGGAGCCTTCAAATTTTGTTTGGAATAAGACAGCCTTCATCACGGCACAATGACGCAGCGCCTATCGAATGGCACCCTTTGAAATGAGATACATACAGCTACAGTAGATTGGTCAGTTCAAAAACAACAACTTATTTTAGGTGTAATGGCTTTTGGACTATGATCATATGTTGGGGGAGTTTTTTTTTTTTTTTTTGCAATAACTTGATTGAATTTAATTGTATTATCGTTCTATTCCTAAAGATGTTTGGCTCTCTGAGAAATGGATAAAAGTTAAATTTCTTAAGGACATGTACTCATTTATGCGCAGCACTGTAGTTGATTGAGTGCATTTACAAAAAGGCCGGATTAATTTGCTGGGAGTTAGTGTTGAATCTGTAAGGCACTAGGCTCAAATCCATCATTAGGCTTATCAAGGTGCTGGGAAAAATCCTGAGGAGTCTTGCTGACATCTGGACAGATCTGGGGGCAATTCAGAGTCAAATTTTTTTTTGCTCTTTTTGGTGTCCTATACTCCTTCAAATATGTGCTTAAATTCACATTTTAAAATCACCTAAAGCATAGGTCTCAAACTGGACTCCTGGAGGGCAGTTTTGCTTCAACCCCAATCAAATGCAGCTGATCCAACTAATGAAGGTGTTCAAGTCTATTAAGCAGGTGTGAGTTAGAAGTGGTTGGAGCTAAACTGCACTTGCAGAGCAGTGGCCCTCCAGGTATTGAGTTTAAAATGAATTGAATTAAATCTGAATTAAAGCATAGTGGCAAAATCAGTTCCTGGAAGGCCACAGCTCTGCAAGGTTTAGCTTCACCCCTATTTAAACACACCTGATCAAACAAATTGAGTCCTTCAGGCTCCTTCACAACAAAGGTAGGTGTTAAAGCAGGACTGCAGAGTTTGACACCTCTGACCTGAAGGGATGGTTCACCCAAATCTGAAAATTCTGTCATAGCTTTCATACTACAAAAAAGGCAAGGCATTGGGTACTGGTTTCTAACATTCTTCAAAATCTCTCTTTTGTGTTGAACAGAAAAGAAAAAAAAAAAACACTTGACTAGTAAATTTTCATTTTTGGGAGAACAATCCCTTTGAAGGCCCAAAATTGTAGTCTCAAAATTGTAAATGCTTGGCTTCAGAAACCAAATTACTCTCTTTTCTGGATGCTGCTACTCTGGATTTTCCTCACCTTCAAGTCTTTACGTCAGAAAGCTGAGCTCTCAGCTTTTTTGTTTGCAAACAAACACTGATCATACAGTGGTTGACCTCATGTCCCTTCTGCCCTCTTCAGATGGAGATGAATCTCCGGCATGTTCAACCCCAAGCCCCTTAAAATTTTAGACTGGCTGATGTTGTTTTAAGTGGGACAGTGGGGTTTGCATGATAATGGCAGTATTTTGCAAGTCATTTATAGTTTGCTGAATGGGCCGAAGTGATGGGGTGCTCTGATCTTGGGTGAGGAGCAGGAGTTGGAGGACAAAGATGGAGAGGTGGAGAATGGAGGTGAAGATGAGAGAGCATCCGCACTCAGAGAGAAGACTGTGGAGATGGCCACATCCACGATCCCTTGACAGAGCTCAGGGTACAATTTCCTAAAGGAAAAAAAAAATTGACAATATTTAACATTCAAACTTAACATCATACAAAACTATTAAAGAAGAAAAAGCCTTAAATATTCCAAATCAATTTTGATTTATTTATTGAAAAGGAGCTAAAATACATGGAAGTGTTATTGGGTAAACAATTCTGAATGTAATAAAATTTACTGCTAAGAAAATAAAGTGGACACTTGTACACAATCCAATGTAACTCCAAATGTTCGCTTTGGTTTTTTTGAGCAGTATATTACATCTTTTCTCTCTCAATGTGACTTGGTGTTTGGGAGGTGTGATTTTTAAATGTGTTAAATCAGTGGTTCTAAAACTTTCACCAAGTACCACCTTAGAAAACAATTGTGTCTCCAAGTGCCACCATAAAGACCGAAATACAGTAGTATAGTAAGCCTAAATAAGCAGCTACAGCTCTGCAGAGTTCGAAAATGTGGCATATTAATTCTTAATATTATGAATATTTATTATTGCCTACATTATAAATAGTTTGAACAGTAACACTGTACTGTGCTTACAGGTAAAAAATAAAACATCAACGTTTAAATTATGTGCTTTAAAAAAAGTTTAAAAATGGCACTGTTCTTAAAAAGAAAAAAAAAAACTGCTGTACTTAAAATGTAAAGTATTATCATAAAGTCTTACAAGTATTTATCAAAACCTGAAAATGTTCCATGGATAAATATAGGGTCTATGTCCTAATATTCATATAGAAACTCTTTTTGCTAAATTTTGAAATTTATGTTGCATGTATATATGACTTATTTGTGTATCTTTGAAATCTAAACATTAACTTGTATTTTAAATATATTAATTGGATTTACACATTTAGATTAGAAATTAGATCTGCTTACTGCACGTTAAAGTAGGCTTTGTGTGTCAGAAAAGCAAGTGCTTAAAGTAAACCTGTTAACATTGGGATTTACATATATGGGATACAACCCCAACAACCGTTACAAATGGCTTGAAATTAGCTTCAAATGATAGAATACATAACAAACATTAGAAAATCAAAAGGTCTAGGCTATTAAAATCAATTTACTGATCACATCGTTACTGTCATAAACATTAAAGGGTTAAAACCATTATTTTTTTTACTCAACATTAAATAGACATCAGGAAATAGTTTATAAATGGTCCATGTATATTGTGCTTGTTTGCATTTTCATTATTACGCAATAATTTAGTAAAGAACAAAATGATTAACAAACCACTTATTTAAGAGTAGTTGGTGGTTTTTAAGATAATTCAAAATAAGTACATGATTAATAAACATTTATACATAATTTTTAATAATAATTACTATGTTAATGTTTTAACACAAATACCTTCAGTTTTGGGATCTCACCTACACTAAGGACAATCTCCGCTTCGTAAATCCCGTATAAATATTAAATTTAGTTTTAATTCATATTTTTAGATAGAAAAATCTTATTTAAATAAAAAATTGCTCAAGCTAGCCAACAGCCACTGTGTGGATCACCATTACTCTGCAACAATTGCCTCTTATAAACATTTGATTTAGAGTAGGGGTGTCCAAACTCGGTCCTTGAGGGCTGGTGTCCTGCAGATTTTAGCGCCAACTTGCCTCAACACACCTGCAAGGATGTTTCTAGAAAGCCTAGTAAGAGTTTGATTAGCTAGCCCATGAGTGTCTGATTGGAGATGGAACAAAACTTTGCAGGACAACAGGCCTCTTGAGCAGAGTTTGGACATGCCTGATTAAGAGTTTTTACAGTTGTTTTGCCACAAATTTCAGAACCCTGATATCAATTTTCAAAACTCGACACAAAACTCTAACAGTCACTACTTCTAACACAGACTCTCTAGTGTTCAAAACTCTGCATGCTGCGTTGATTTCCTTTAAGAAGTCTTGCATTTGCAGGATCATTGGTTCATATGATCCTGTTATCATACAATTACCACAGAAACATAACTTAAATTTGCACGCATGCATGCACATGCTTTCAATAAACAATCATTAAATATTGTTGTTTAAAATATAGGATACAGGTTTCATCATGGTTTATACATAAGTGCAAAGGGAATAGTACAGACAGTAGAATCATCGAGTGTGGTTTATTTATAAACTAACTTTGAGAGGATCATGTGCTTATGACTAACCATGGCTGGTACCGCATCAGCTCCACATATTGTGCCAATTAGATGAATACTGACTCACTATAATTAACCAGTTTTCCACTTCAGTCATCTACGCCTTGAAGAATGCTCCTCTTACCCCTACTCCTTCCCTTCTAATAATAGGTTGGCACAGTGGCCCAGTGGTTAGCACTGTTGCCTCAAAGCAAGAACAACACTGGTTCGACCCCTCACCGAGGCAGTCAGCATTTCTGTGCGGAGTTTGAAAGTTCTCCCTGTGCTCATGTGAGTTTTCCCTGGGTTCCCCGGTTTTCTCCCACCGTCCAAAGACATACATCATAAGTAAATTGACTACTTCAAAGTAACATCTCAAGACAAACTCTTAGCCAGCTATATCTCAGCTATTCCTACACATTCACAAGCAGAGGAGTTCTCGAGACCTACATGAGGTCAAACTCCCCTCTCACTCTTCAAACGGGGAGCCTCAGGCTCAAAACTATTCTGAGCTCAGGGCTCTCTCCTGGGACAGCATGCCAAACACGCTTTATTATCAATCATCAGCCAAGTGTGAACTCTTGAAACTAAAATTTTATTCATGCTGTGATTGGACTTTCTTGCATACAGTAATCTCAAGTATGAAAACATTGTGTGTAAAAACATTGAAACCATATACAGTTAAAGTCAGAATTATTAGCCCCCCTTTTGATTGTTTTTTCTTTTTTAAATATTTCCCAAATTATGTTTAACAGAGCAAGGAAACTTTCACAGCAAGTCCGATAATATTTTTTCTCCCAGAGAAAGTCTTATTTGTTTCATTTTAGCTAAAATAAAAGCAGTTTTTATATTTTAAACATTATTTTAAGGTCAAAATTGTAAGCCCCTTTAAGCTATTTTTTGCGATAGTCTATAGAACAAACCATCATTATACAATGACTAATTACCCAAACCTGCCAAGTTAACCTAATTAACCTAGTTAAGCCTTTAAATGTCACTTTAAGCTGTATAGACATGTCTTGAAAAATATCTAGTAAAATATTATTTACTGTCATCATGGGAAAGATAAAAGTAATCAGTTATTAGAAATAAGTTATTAAAACTATCATGTTGAGAAATGTGTTGAAAAGAATCTCTCCTTAAACAAAAATTGAAAAAAAAATAAATAAACATGGGGGGGGGGGCTAATAATTCAGGGGGGTTTATAATTCTGACTTCAACTGTATGTAAAATAAGGACAAAATCCATAGATAATGTAGTTCAATTGAGTCATCTTGTGTGGTAACTGATGTCATTTGATTTATCCAGAAATTTTCATCTAAACTTGTAATATTGTACATCAGTTTCCAATAAGTTATGCATACAGAGTAATGTATACTTTATAATAGGAAATTCATAATTTTGGGCACTTGTACCAATTGACAGTTACACGAAATTAATTAAATGAATACAGTTATTTCAAATGACGAGGCAGTGGCGCAGTAGGTAGTGCTGTCGCCTCACATGAAGAAGGTCACTGGTTTGAGCTTCAGCTGGGTCAGTTGGCGTTTCTGTGTGGAGTCTGCTTGTTCTCCCTGTTCGCGTGGGTTTCCTCCGGGTGCTCCAGTTTCTCCCACAGTACAAAGACATGCAGTACAGGTGAATTAGGTAGGCTAAATTGTCTGTAGTGTATGAGTGTGAATGAGTGTGTATGGATGTTTCCCAGAGATGGGTTGCGGCTGGAAGGGTATCTGCTGCACAAAAACATGCTGCATAAGTTGTCTGTTTATTCCGCTGTGGCGACCTCGGATTAATAAAGGGACTTAGCCGAAAAGAAAACTAATAAATGAATGAGTTATTTCAAATGTTATGTTTGAGCTGCATTTACAAATGGGATCAATTTAATGTTTAATTGTATTATATTGAAAAGGTGATTTCAGTTTTAAAAATTGACATTAGGGTTCAGAAATTAGTGGCAAAACAATTGTAAAAACTTAGTGTTAAATAATCAACATCAGCTCACACAACTTGTTAAATCGATTAATATATTATCAGAGATCATAAATGCAAGAAACCAGTTATTATACACTTAGTTTAAAAGTCCACTCCATTTTAAAAATTCTGGCCCGCCTCCAAATCGATTTGGCATTACATATATATATATGCAATAATGCAATATAGACAATTGCAAGCAAAAAACTTAAGTAAAGTATTGTTGACATAAGAAATGAGAAGTTTGTACTGACTGTGCACAGGCAGGTGCCCCATTGATCTCAATCAGCCAGACTTTAAAGCTTTCGTCCAGCATAAAGTCAAAGCCAAAGAGCTGGAAGCTCTGGTAGGAGAGGTGCTTTGTGCTGATGGCTGGTTCGATGCATGCAAGACAGCTCCTTTTGAGAAAAAAACAACAACACCACAATACTTAGATGGCAAACCTCTGTTTTTTTTCCTCAAAATATTAAGATGATAGTGTTGATTAAATTAGTAATTTCAGTATAAGTTGTACATGTAAATATAGTACTGTATGTCAATTCCTTGATAACAGAAACTGCATATTTTTGTCATTTTTGACTATACAACTTTGATACCGTTACTTGGAAATAGATTGTGACATCACACTGACTTTTCACAGAGGAGGTCACATACACGTACTGTAAAAGGAATGGGCCGATATAAGATTTTGACGGTATAATAACCTTGGATAAAAATATCACAGTTTCACAGTATTGTAATTACTGCTCTAAAATATTTTCTTTTTAAATGTCTGGATAAAACAACAATTGATTCCTATAGTTTTTGGATACTGTTTCCAAAAAAATAAAAAATAAAATAAAATGTAAATAAAATAATCTTACACATACCTTAGGAATGGTATTACGGAAAATTTTGGTGGTTTTAAAACCTGGTGCAAAAATTTGATCAAGTTTGTTTAATTAGCATAAAAATATTAATCTTGAAAATATTGAAAACCATTTTTAAAGTTTAAAACAAATAAAAATAGTAAAAGTAATAATGCAGAAACATAAAATGTTCATGAATTCCATCCAAGCCCACCAGATTTTTGGTAATTTTATTACAATAGAACACAATTTGTGTATAATTATAATACAATAAGGTCATAAGTTTTTTTGAAAATCAGTTAGCCACCTAGGAAGTTTAAGTTGCACTAAAGTAATAAAATTACTAAAACTGATAGAAACAAAATAATTGTATTTCTTAAGTTAAATGAAGATCTTCAAAAAACTAATGTCTAATATCATAACAGAAGTAAATACATTCTAAAATTGTAATTAGTAAAAAAAAAAAAAATAAGCAAATGCAAAATATAAACAGATTTTTATGATTTTGAACTGGTAGACTATTAAATCTCTAGCACAAAAAAACCCCAATTCATTAGCTTTTGAAACATTAGGTAAGCTACATTTCCTACATGTGTATTAAAGGTACACCAAGCGAATTTTGTTATAATGCTGTTATAATTCTGAGTGCTGTATAAATGCTGAGTGCTGTTATAATTCTGTTTTGCGACCCAGTGAAACAGTGTATTCAAAAGTATTTTTTTAATATTGCTTAGTGCACCTTTAATGTAACCCATTCATAGGCACAAAAACATGAAATTCCATCTTTTTTCATGGCGAAAATAAACTTTTTTTTGTAAATGAGCACCTGATTATATGCTTGATCTGAGGTAAAATAGAGGTCTCCATAGCCAGATTGTGTGTGTTCAGCAGGTACTGTTTAAACTCATCAAAAAACATTTCATTGCCCTCCTCATATCGGCCATAGTTCTGCGAATGCTCTTTCTGAATACAGTGGTTTGTCAGATGACTGGTCATATTCTGGAGATCTGAGCTGTTGTAGGGCTCAGACGATGTCCTCAGCACACCCTCACGGTACAGGTAGATGTTGTACTGATGGTCCACAAGCACCCAACTTCTGCATAAAAGAACATCCAGCATTAGGACGACACATTGCATTTGTATGCTCTCCCATCATCTTAAAGGCTCATCTTACCTTATATCGAATTTGCGATGACCTGGCTCAAGCAGCAGAGGTTTCTCCAGATACTTCTGAATGACATGCACTTGGCCTTGATTATCAATGAACTCCAGCAACTGGTTTGCGTCATGAGAAATCAAAATGCCAGCACCTGAACATAGATAGGGACATTAACATACTAATAAATGATGGATTATTTTTTTCAATAAAATAACATTTAAGTCCACATAATATAAACATTTGTAGTGTTTATTTTGTTAGCGCACAATTGTGTTTTATTATGAACATCTAATCCATGCAAATTAATCCAATTTAGAAAAAAAAGCTGTTAATTTTTGTTAATCTAGATTGTTTTGCTCTTTGTATTTCCTATAACTGTGTTTCTCAACCACATTCTTGGACCACCAGCTCTGCAGATTATCCATGTCTCCTTAACCAAACACCCCTGATTCAGATCATCAGCTCGAAAGTGGAGACTAAAAGACCTAAAATAGTTGTGACAAAGGAAACATCAAAAACATGCAGTGCTGGTGGTCTCTCTGGAACATGGTTGAACACCACTGCCCAATAATACAAAAATAATCAACATGGCCATAACATTGCTCTGAAACGGTCTCAAATTTTTGAAGTTATTTGTGGTCTGCTGAAGATAATTTGCTTTAAGTTGCCTTTCATTTTCAAATGCTGTGATGAAAATAATGATCCATATGACCCAAAATACCCATTAAAAACTTTGTTTATATCTTAACAGTCTTTTGGATCAACAGAGATTTTTTACCTTTTGCGCCTGCTGATGATTTGGCTATCCACACTGTCCCATCTCCACTTTCCTTTCTGGAGTTATAAGATGCTAAGAAGACTTCTCGCTCATCTGTCTTTGGGTTGCTCTTCATGTGGCTGATGCCGTTGGTGGCCGGGGCCACCGGGGTGTTGAGGTTGGTTGGGTATATGATGTAGGACTCAGGAAACCAGTTACAGGAGTCCTTCAACTCTGGACTGGTCTTGATAATCCTAAACATCAAAAATATTACAAGATAAATATTATTCCCAAGGTTAACAAACTATAAATTGATGAAAATAAACCACATGAGGAAACCCCAGTACAATTTGAAGACATTCCTCACTTAACAAAACATTAAAGAGATTAAATTAAATTCTGTCATTTATTCATGCTCCACTTAAGTCTGATTTATACTTCTGTGCCAAGCGTATGCGTGCATAAATTGTGCATATAAATTCTTCGACATATGCAGACCAGAGACTGACCTCTCAAAAAATGTAACTACACGTCATGATGCCGTTTGCGCAAATTCTGTTGCTCTGTCCCAATTCACATACTGTCCATTCTAAATAGTATTTGAAACTAGAATTAGTATGTCCCAAACTATAGTATGCTGAAAGAAGTATGCCAAAGGTTCCTGGATGGCTTACTATTTTCGGTAAAAATTCTGAGTCTAGAACCGCCTGTACTCCAACCCCTAATATTGCCCACAATACACTGCTTATTGGACATGAATTTAATTAGAACTACAAACTCGATTAAAAAGTGTAAATATACTACAAACTTGGTGAATACGTCAGACCAACCATAAAGTACGGAGGCTTTGGTGATTAATTGTTTGTGAGGAGTTTTCTGTCCTATTTTTCCTCTGCAAAAAACAATGTGAACTCACATATTATATGTTTGGACATTAACTTCTAAATAGATAATTAGACAAAGATCTGAGGAGATTTCTCTGCATGATAGACTCGAAAATGGCAGATTTTTATGCTGCTGCTTCTCAAATAAGGTCGGTAATTAAATATAAAAGAAATGTGGATGTGTCGAGATGATTGACAGGCGACATACCCAAGCAACGTAACAATCTGTTAATGAAGTAGTATGTCCAAAACTTGCATACTCTTCTGTTACATACTCAAATGTATTTACTTTTTCTAAACAAAAAAGTACATACTTTTAGGGTGAAGTATTAGTATCTGAATTGGGACGCAGCACATGACTGGACAGTTTGGTAGCATTGACTAGTGTGGGCGGGGCCAAGAGTGGCAGGAGAGCAGCAAGCCTGTTGGTACGAGTTTTTAAAAGTGAGTCCTGTGGAAGAGCTCCAGTTGGAAACTATTGCTTTATGTTGCCCTTATGATTAAAGTTGTTGCATGACCGCTGGCTCCTGCCTCTGAATGAACAAGTTTTAGCTACTTGTACATTAAGGTAGCATTCAAAAAAACAAATTACCCACAAAGAAACCCGACACAAAGGAACAAAACAACACACTGCCAGCTGATTTTACAAATTACAATACAAATTTCGCTAATTAAATTGCAAAGGGATTGTAAAGTATAATATGTAACAATTTATGTCATTAGTAAATCCATTAACTAATGTCAATAGTGAAAAATAGCTACAATTGTTACAAAAATAAATAGCTGAAATCTATTAGTTATTAACACCATAAAATAAAAAGTTATGATATTTGTTAACATCACCTAACATTATTAAATGCTTACTTTTGTTAACATTAGTTAACCACTTTTGAGTCGTATAGTAAATTGTTAAAATTTATGTGTATAAAAAAACATTGAAAATGTTTAAAAATAAACATTTCACTCCTAGTCAAACACTTGCTGATAATGAACACAAAAAAATTCACAATCTGAATATTCTTATAAACAAGTTTAACACACTGTGTTGAAGTGGCCACGATAACAATGCCATGCGTGTTCGTTGTCATAATATTGCATTACTGAATAGTGTACCACTGAACAAAAAAAGTTATTCAAAGTAACTTTGTTCAAGTAAACCACATACTTGACCAGTGATGCTTTGCGACACAGTTTATCGGCTCCTCTATAATAATTCACCAGCTGCATGAGTCCTGGTTCATGACCTGTAAAGGACACAGAAGGGCATCTAATCTTAAATATCGAAATATTGAGTGATGACAACACAGCCCTGCAGCAAAAAGTACTTTTGACATTCAAAAACAGCTTCTATATGAAATATTTTTATTTCTGAAAGTCTTGTAAGCTAACAAGTGCTGCATTTATTTGATAAAAAAGATCAAATAAAATAGTATGATTAAATATTTAAGTGACATTTTATATTTGAATATAATAAAAAGTATTGTTTTATCCAGTGATTGCAAACTAATTTTTACCACCTATCTTGTTGTCACATGATCCTTTCGAAATTGATGCTAAATTGTTAATTGAAATATTATTTACATTAATAATAAATTGTAGACTGACTTTGAATAAGTTTTAATAATATTAATAATTCTTACTGCAATCAATGCTGAAACCATTTCTGCTGCGTAATATTTTCTGACATATTTTTTTATTATTGATAAAAGATTTTTTATAATTTTAACACTCAGGTAGTAAAATGTTTTCTAAATGAAAAATAGAAAGAAATGTTCCTTCAGCACAAAACGAGTATATGATTTCTGAGTGATCACAATATCATGTGACACTGAAAACTGAAGTAATGACAGAATATCGCAGCACTAATTATTAGCATATGAAAATTACAAAAATGTGAATTGTTCCAAATTAAATATTGATTTTAAATTAAATAGTTTCTGTGTAGTAAACATCAAATAGACATCTCATTACATAAAGAGACTAAATTATTCAAAAACTGGTTTAAGATTATCATACTTTAAAAGTTTAAAATCCACATAGATGCATTAAAGAGTTGAAACTTTGTTATCAGGTTATTGCTGCAGGACACACAGCACACCATTGCTTCATTGAGTATAATCATAAATTAAACACTTTGTACCTTTTATGTTTTTTTTTGTTTTTAAATAGCATGGTCTAATGAAAACTATCATAGCTTAGATACATTGCAAGAACCTGCTGAGACTACTAACTTTCATTATACACTACAATAACAACATTTAAATCAATTACATCAGTGTTAAATTTTGATTTAGCAATGCATTTGTTGAAATGATTTACCCAGCCGTCCAAAAGGCAGCCGATTTCTCTCTCCCAGCATTAAATTAAAGCGAGGGTTGTCTTTCTTGAGTCGTTTCCATTTTCCAGTTGAAGTAAGAATCTTGGCGACCTCAGCATACACAGTACTGGTGTCATCTCTCAAAACAAACGTGTATATTGGTGAATTCATGATTCCCAGTCTTCAGACAAGAGCGCAGCGTAATGATGAAGAACACACACAGCTAGCAGACTAACGTTATCTGTCTCCCAACAAAGTAGACTGAAAGTGGACATACATGATTCCCCTGACGCTTCTTAGTTGTATTGCTCTAACAAGTACAGTATGTACATAGTACGACTGTCGTCCAGACAGGGTGGACCATCTGAACCCGCAGTCGATCGCGTGGCCGATGCGAGGAAACTGAAATTTAGGGTGTGACTCTTGAAGGATTTTGTCTAGTAAATTCTCGCGGCTAACAGTCTACGCTAGCGTTCTCTCCGCTAGTGAATATCTCTGAACTGCAGATGTTATAAAACACAGTCCGGGAACAAGCCAGCTCTGTGCAGAGCGTAAGAATAGTGGTTGACTATATAACTATATAGTTTAACCCTAGCCTCTTGTGCGTTCGTCCAGACAGGACATCAATTTAAATCCCAGTTGAAGCCTCTTTATCCCAGCACGCTCATGATGTGACGTACCGCTGGGAGTTTTAACGTAGCACACGCACGCCGCACGCCCAAAGACTTATGGGTAATGTAGTGTCTGCTGTGTTGCTATTTAACAGAAAGGTTGTAGTATTTATACAAGGTATATGTTTGATCTTTTAATGCTTATTAAAAAATGCTTTCTAAATGCCCATAGTTTTAGAATTAGTTTTTTCTCTTAAGTTAAACTTCACCAAATGTGAACGTCAATTAAAGAGTGTGCGGCTCCCACTGTATGCAATATCCCAGTTAGTCTGAAGTATGTTAGGCATTGTGATTACTAAAAACCAAGGAAGGAAATATTTTCTAAACTTTGATCCTGATATTATTAAGACACAGAGAATATTTCAGCTATGGCTGTAGAGAGACTTCTTTAAGAGACAGGTTGCTTATTAAAGCGGAGGGTATAGCTTGGCTTACTTTACCTGCACTTTCTTTATATGCAGATAATAAAGTTTGTAAAAGTATGGATAAAAATAGGCTATGATTAATTTTGACTGGAAGAATAAAATCCATTATGAAAAGAAATCTGTAGTTATGAACAAGTATTAATAGGCCAATAGAGGGTTACATTTTCTTCATTTTTCATTATTAAACTTTTCTTTCACAGTTAACTGGCTTAGGCAATTTATAATTAAACCAAACTCAACTTGAAATTTTCTCCACAATTACTTTTTTCAAAACTGGAAGGTCTCTCTTTTCTACTGATTTTATTAAGAAGAACTCTTTATTAAGAGTTATTTAATTAAGAAGGTCTTCTCTTAAATTATAAAGAGTTTTTATGCAAGTTTGTTTTCCCAGTAACTCCAAAATAATTTTCCATTGTAGAGGATGCAATTCTTAAAAGTGTTTTAATGCTTTTTAGAGGTTATGGTGGAGCTTCCAGTGTTTTGACTGTGCCATTGCACCCCTTGGAAACCTCAGTGGGAAAAAATGCTTTTATCACAACTTTCCTCACGTAATTACAAAATCAGGTCTGTCTTTCAAAAAAAAATTGTAACAATGTGACGTTTTTTTTTTTTTTTTTTGATGCAAATATATGACCAGATTCAATGGGAAAAAGTTTGGTATTTGTCTGTAAAATATATAATAACTAACAAAATTTGAGAAATTTCATCAAAACTGTTACACAGATTTTACCTAGCTAAGACATTCTTGAAAAGATTCAAGTCTTTAATATCTGAAATATTCCCAGTGAAACTGTTGATCAATTTTTTTGCATTGCCCTTAAATACAATGCTTTTGGATTAAATTTCTTTGGTTATTCATCGCAATGTACTACCGGGATTCTTGTTTTCTTTTAAGGGTATCCTGTTGGGTCAATACCACTGATGATAAAAGTAAGGAATATTTTATTATTAATCTAATTTTAATTCTTGCAAAATGCCATATACATCGCTGTAAATTCTCTCAATGTACATTGTTTTATTGTTTTTGAAAAGGAACTTCAACAGTACATTAGAGCTAAAAATCTTAAAGCTATTAGAACTGTTTACTTATTGTCCTTGATTGTACATGATTTTATATTATTTGTCGTTTTTTCTCTTGTATGTGCTTATTTTGATGCTTTACTTCTCTGTAAAACTCATGTAGTAGTAGTAGTAGTAGTAAAACTTTATTGTCCTTGACAGGAGATTTGTTTTGGGCATCGCCATATTGCTGCAGACACTCACTAAAACAAGCAATAAAAACAATAGAAAATACAACAATTACAACATTTATGGTGCTAATTAAGATATACTCTTATTAAGTAAGCCCACTGACACAGGTACAAAGGATTTCTTATAACGGTTTAACCTACACTTTGGGACTCTATATCTTCTACCAGAGGGAAGCAGTTCGTACTGGGGAAACAAAAAATGAGTTGGATCCTTTACAATCCTATCCACCTGATTGAGGACACAGTTCTCATATAAAACTTGAGGATTAAAATATTCGTTGTGCCTGACAATTTTCCATGCTGTCTTTAAGAGATGCATCAGTTTAGATTTACACTGAACAGATAGGTTGCCAAACCACACTGTAATGCCATACCTGACAATGCTTTCAAGAACTGCTTTATAAAACAGCATCATGAACTTCTTGTTGACTCCAAAAAGACGCAACCTCCGTAAAAAATACAATCTCTGATGTAAACGAGAACAAATCCAATCAATATGTGTTTTCCATGTGAAAGAACTGTCGATATGAATGCCCAAGTACTTATAGGTATCTGACTGAGTAATAGGATCATCATGTAGCTACAACCACTTGACGATGGTCACCTATGCACTTAGGGTCAAATACCATCTCTTCTGTTTTCTTAGTATTTATTTTTAGCTTATTTCTATCACACCAATCAATGAATTGACTAATTTCTGACTGATAGATAACCCCAATATCATCCTTCTCATATCGTAAACTTAAAATGGCTGTGTCATCAGAGTATTTAAAAAATAAAATTCTGTGAATGCTTACTTATACATTCATTTGTAAAAAGTGTAAAAAGAATAGGCGAACTGACACAGCCTTGTGAAACCCCAGTACTACTGTTCTTTTCCTCTGAACAGATGTTTTTAACCTTAACAACCTGAGTTCTGTTTGTTAAAAATGAGAAATACCATTTGCATATGAATGGGTTTATATTCAGCTGTTCCATCTTTTCAATTAATAAATGTGGTTGGATCGTATTAAAAGCGGAACTAAAATCAATAAAAAGCAGTCGAGCATAAGCTTTAGGATTGTCTAAGTGCTTAAGAATTAAGTGCGAAATACTATTAACTGCATCTTCAGTACCTCTGCCATACCTGTAGGTGAACTGTAGAGGATCTAAATTACTAGCAACTTCTGATTTTACAATGGACACAAAACATTTCATGATAACAGATGTTAATGCCACCGGTCTAAAATCATTGTACTCAGAGATGTACAATCTACACAACAAATTTGTACTCATCATGTACAATCTACACAACAAATTTGTATGATGCTGTTATTGTTACCCTGACATTAATAAAAATAAAATAAAATACATAAATAAAAAAGGTTTATAGGCGAGGCAGTGGTGCAGTAGGTAGTGCTGTCGCCTCACAGCAAGAAGGTCGCTGGGTTGCTGGTTCGAAGCTCAGCTCAGTTGGCGTTTCTGTGTGGAGTTTGCATGTTCTCCCTACCTTCGCGTGGGTTTCCTCAGGGTGCTCCGGTTTCCCCCACAGTCCAAAGACATGCCGTACAGGTGACTTGGGTAAGCTAAATTGTCCTTTGTGTGTGGATGTTTCCCAGAGATAGGTTGCGCCTGGAAGGGCATCCGCTGCATAAAAACTTGCTGGATAAGTTGGCGGTTCATTCCGCTGTGGCGACCCCGAATTAATAAAGGGACTAAGCTGACAAGAAAATGAAATAAATGAAAAAGGTTTTATCTTGTGTTGAAATCTGCTACTAACCATATTTTCTCTATTGTGTTTTCTTTGAAAAAAAGACATCATATTACACTAATATTCAGTTTTGTAATATATTTTCCCTAAAATATTTCACATTCTAACCATGAATTCTTTTAAATGGAAGTATTACTTCACGAAGCTATTGTCGTATGTTTAAACAGAACGCTAAAAAATCACATTACTGCACGCAGTGATTGTTTTTCGTCAGGCGATGGCGCACGCGATCTTTTTACAGATCAGCCGGAAGTTGTTCGCGCGCGCCGTAGAGGCTGGAGGCGGGAGCTTTAGTCAACTTTATGGTTGTTTTGTTTCGTGTCCATCATTTACACGAGAAATACGTTTAACCCAGAGGTATGTTGCTATTTTCCTCAACCAAAAGTAAATGAAAACGTAAGTCGTTTTTCGTTTGATCGCTTTGTTTATGCTTTCAGCTCATGTTATGAGTTTAAGCTACTGTCTTGTCTTTCTGAAGACATTCCATAAAATGTGTTGATACCCTGGAGATATTATTCGTAATGTCCTTATACACCACATTTGATCTGATTGATGAGACGGGGGACATTCGGGTGTAACGTAACGTTAACGTTTCTGTTTCATAAATTCTTCTTAGTCAACTGTCATTCAGGAGTTTTAGTCATTAAAACAATGAACAGATCAACAAATCAAATATATCTTTGAATTTGATTTCTGTTTACCTTTTAATATGTCAAAAGCTACTTCATTAGTTGCGTCCAGACTCTTGGGAGTGCAAAATATTTTTTGCACTTTCTGAAATCCTGAGCCCTTACAATCCAAGCTATGGTTTTCATTATGGTGTCTTGAAAAGCCAACATACTGTTATCTCACTTAAACTTCTTCTTCTTCTGAGACTAATTTTGAAGTGTATCTCCTCCTAACCCTTTCAAGCTACATACTTCAAATTTTTGTCAAACCTTCAAACTGTTCTGACTCTGGTTACTATAGCTGCGTCCCAAATGGCACACTATGCACTCATGCACTATGTACTTATGCACTTACACACTCACACACTCAACAGGATAGTATCCGCTTGTTAAGTGGTGACGTGTTTGTGAAGTATGTATACTGTTTCCGGGTCCAAGCCGCCATTCATTTGAGTGGAGAAATCATTTGTTTATGATCGCATTTTATTCCTATCACTCATTAAAGTTAATTTTACATAAAGTCATAGTGTACACAACAATCTCTGGGCTTGCTGCATAACAGATACCAAAATTTTAACAATTTATAAAACAATGAATCACTTTCTGGCCATCGGATATTAGGCATGGACATATATATTGCGATCGTGACTTTCGAAAGTATTAAATCGCTTTGTAAACGTTTATTATTACCATTTCATGAATCTCCCCTTTCAGTTGAATAGAGAGCTTGGACCCTGAAGCCGCTCCGCGTGACGTCACAGTTAAGAAGCAGATATGTATGTAGTGTCGTCCCAAATGGCACACTAATGGTTTTTTACTAAGCGGAAATTCAAACCGTTTCCCTAATGACGTTTGACGGTTACCAAATAAGTGAAATAAACGACCGAATTATCAAATATTACCTGCCGTGAGTATAACTGCATTCA